TGCAAGTTATCACCAGCTACTTTAAGTGTGATCGCGAAGTGGCTCATTAATAAGGTAGTTAATAAGGAGTGGCCCATGCAAATGAAGTTTTATCAGGAAGACTTTTCAATTTAGCCACCAGATGACGTAGCAAATCGCGTAGCTCGTCGAGTGTTGTCTAGCCTGTACTGGGGACCTAGTGAAACGGGAGATGGACTTTGGTTGGACCCAGCGGTACATGAGATCTCTGCGGATACTGTGATGAAGGTGAGGGATCATCTTATTTGGGTTATTTCTTGTTTCTAGGATTTGGTTTGTTCAGGCACATTTGAGCCATTGTGGTCACTCGAATGGAATGATTGCGAAGTCTATACGACAGATATCTAAATTGGCTAGTCGAATGGCGGATCATGAGCAATTGTTCAATCAGTTCTGCTGGGATATACTCATAAAGATCAAACTCAATTTCAAGGTATTTGAATTAATCCATCTCAAGAGATAGCGGGCTTTCATGCTAGTTGCTTTCTGACTTATAATGGTCAATTAAGGAGAGCACAGCATCTCCACAAAATGATCTCTCTGCTTTCTTTATCTATGTTGATCAAAGTTGTCTCGGAAGGTAATAGTCGGAGCTAGAATCTTGATTAATTTCTATAAAGGGTATTTTACAGCGCCTCTGTATTTTTGGATCGTGGAGTGCCATTAATGAATGATCTGGTCGCAGCTGGTTGTTCCACTGCTTGTGTGGTACTGTTGGCGAGACTCATGGAAAAGCATTATCCTAAAGTTGCCTCCCTTGGATCTGATAAGGCGTAAGCTAGTTTAAATACGATTGAATGATGAATGACTTATTTTAGGTATCTGTTTAGAATCTTTTTCAACTAATTGAATGTAATTCTAGGTTCATGGAATTGTTTGAGCGCATTTTGCACGTTGATCAGTGCTCCTATGCTGTGCAATGGTTTACAGGTCCGTCTTCGAAACCAACGCCTATCGTGCGATTGATTTGCAGCTCGATTTCGGTATCAAATTGTATATTGTTATTCATGATAAGCTCTCAATATTATATTTCAGTACTACGCGAAACACGTACACGACCTTGGAATGTATTTGCGCGCCTGGGTTGATCTCCTCTGTGTTCGTCGTCCAACTGTTTGGAATAACGATAACGTGGGCAAGCATACA